GACCCCCTGGCCTTCGCGGAATTATTCGCGAGAGCAGGAGCTCACCAGTTTGTCAGGACAGCTGTTTGAGGTTCACGGGGGTTTGCGGAACTCTTCCCACCCTGGGGCTTATGCCCATGCAGTCTCCTTCCATTCGCATAGCCCCTTTGCCCTTCACACAGCTTCGCCGTTCCCATGGGCCTCCGCGTAGTGCTTCGCGATTAATGTCTGGTACCCAGACAGTCTGACGCCCCCATGCCCCCTTCCGTTTTGCCCTCATTATATGGAGCGATTTTGCGTCTTTTGTTGGAGGCATGCATCTGCAGTTCTGAGATGCATATTGGTTCTGCACAGTATATTTGCTTCTTATCTTATTCTAGAGACTCTGGGCCCTCACACACACAAAGAGGTTGGCCTTCATGCGCAGGATGCTCTAACTTGCCAGCTTAGTAGACAAGGCCGAGACAGGACATGTAATCTGCGCCAGTGCTTCCATCACTCCGAATCAATGCGCGTGAGCACCGGACGGAAAGGAACTGCCTTCCACTTACTTTGCATCGCACCCCGAAAGGCAGGTCTGCAACCGCAGGTGTGGACAGGAGATGCCAGGTCAGCATCGTTGGTGTTGTGTAGTCCTTGCGACCAAGCTCTTGCCAGAGTCCAGGCATGCTGTGGTCGGGGAGGGAAGCAATTGTTGGGTCAATCATGTTGTTGTTGCCGGCAGGTTAGGTCCAGGCACTGAAATTGCCAGCTTCGGAGACCAGGGCGCGACGCGCGGTTGCCCCCTTCCACATGTGTGTCGCACCGTCCGACCGCACGGTCATGAAGGCCCGGAACGCTTGGGCTTGGTCCGGGTTCGTGATCTTGTCATCAGCCACGGTCACGAACAGTCGACCCACGTCACCATTTCGCCACGACAACGTTGTTGTTGTGCGTGGCTCACGCCAGTTTCCGACAGCAGCCACGGCCTTGTAGCCGTCGTCCTTGGCGAGCTGAGGCTCCCACTGCGCTGGCAAGGTTGCATTTCCCAAGCCCAAGTTGATGCGCAGCTGACGCGTGAGCTTTGCCTGCTCCCAATCCACCCGCTGGGCAGGTTCGTGAACAGTGGTCCAAACCTGGTCCAAGTTGCCCACCAGCAGGGGGTGGACCTGCTTGGTTCCCACCATTTCCGTGGAAAGGTGCTTGCCAGGTGTGGACACGCGGCATACCTGGAAGTCGAACTTCCACAGGGTGCTAGTTCGTGGCATGGACTTCGAGGCCTGGAACCGGGCACGCTTTGCCGGGCCTTGGCCGCCTCCAGAGCTTGAGTCACTCCACCATGGGCCTTGTCCACGTGCCGATTCTGGCGATCCACCTCCTCGTTCCAGACATCGACCCACGACATCCGCGGCATGGTCTTGTGGACTTGCGTCCAGCGCTGATGCCTCGGAACTTGGCCTTGTTCTCCAGCATCGTCTGCTGAAGAAGAAGGCTAGCGCACTGGATTCATTTCAGAGGTAGATGCAGTTTTCCACAGCTCGCCCGAGCAGACGGCAAACACCTGCCGTGTTGCTAGGGTCGGAGTAAGCGTTGCACGCACTTATGACTTCTGAGGGCCGAGGGCACTTGCAGCTGCTGTCGGCACGTAAACGGAAAAAGTGTTGGACATAGCTAGCCTTTGTCTCCAAATCCAGGACCTTGCCTTTGCTGTTGTGACTCCATCACACCGTGCCAGTGCGACAGAGCAGGGGGCGGAAAGGTGCTGCCTTCCTCATAGTAACATTCGCGGCATCAGCCGAAAGTCTGAGGCGGTACCGAGCACCCTCGTAGCTACCGCAGCAGAAAGGTTGCGGATGCGCAGTGCGCCGCCAAAATGGCAGGTCTGCAAGCACGGGGGTGAGGACAGGAGATGGCAGGCCAGCATCGCAAGAGTTGCATGCCAGCATGCTGTAGTCACTGTCGTCGAAGCCGTCGACAACCACATTTACGTGGGATTGCAGTATCTGCTTGGCCATGGTGCAGTGCAATGCCCAAAATCTCAAATCAATGAAAAGAGCCACCCTTTACTGCAACCTCTTCCCTTAATCCAAGGGTGTGTAATGACTTTCCTCCATATGACATATGAATAACATATTGTGCTCTCAGCGGACTGAAATTCGAAGGCTTCTCGGGGCAGATGAAAGCCATGCGGCCAGCTTGGAGGTGCCTAACAGCTTCAAGAATCTAGTGCAAGGCTTGTGTGGAAATCAGGGTATACAGGTTGTGCAGCACGCTTCGTGGTTGGGTACGGTTGAGTGCAGACCGAGTGCCCTCCGCACATCCGACGATTCGCACTTATGAACAGGGCTGCCAGGCATCCGAGTTGTTTCCGATGGTGACGAAGCTTTTTAGAGTGGTACACCCCTCTCTTTACCCTCCTAGCTGTCCCACAAGAGTCGCAACATGTTGCTTCTTGGGGGCCCATGCCGGGTCTTACAGCCTTCCTGGCTCCCAGCGCCGGACATCTCAGCTATCGCGAGCATGCGAGACTTGCACGAGCGTGACCTCCAAGAGCGGCAGTGCGTGGCAGCTCCAAGTCAACGCACTGCCGGGATAACTGGTGCATGCTGGCTCATGCTGGCACGAGCGTCTTTGTGTCAGCTAGTTACAGAGTGTCTCAACAAGAGGACATTGGGCCCTGAGCCCTCCACACAGTGGGCAGTAGGCTTTCATGGCGTCCTCATGCCCCAAATTCAAAGCCTAGCAAGTCGCACCCTGAGCTGTCGAGATGGAAGGGCAGGAGCTTCATGATCCACCAGCCTCAAGTAAGTAACCCTGCATCTTGAACTTTCGTTGCTTCCGCGCATGCCTTTGATGCTCATCTGGAGGTGCGGTCTTGGACATGGAGTCTGTGCAGTGAGCAAGTGTTGGAGGGCGCACAGGGGAGAGTAATCACGAAAGCTCCTCTGGAGGGAGTGTCGTTCATTAACAACTCTTCACACATGTGAGGCTAGCGGCCTTGGGGCCGGGGGGGGCCTTTGGTCAATTTGGTGCGGTTCCGGGGCTTCTCCCCCGTTGTGGGCTGGGAGAAAGCGTGTTGCCCACGCAGCTGTTCTGGCATCCTTGTTGAGGCTGGTTTGGGCTGTGCTCGCCAGGCTTTGTGGGTCAGAAACGGGGTGATCATGATGCCGCTGATCTCGGTCCTCTCTACGGCGTGTCTCAAGCTTCCGGCCACCCGGCCAACCAACAGGCCCCATGCATACAGAAGATTCTTTCGTCCGAACCTTTGGCTTTCAAGGGAACACGTGCGCCCTCACGCTTCATGCAGCCATGCCGAGAGAGCAGGCAGGGAGCAAGTGGCCTGGCCTTCCATTCAGAGCTGCTGCGGCTCAAGGGTCCAGAGCCTCACGAGAGTTGTGTAGGTTTTTTCTGTGGCATGGTGGCAGGTTTCCATGGCAGGGTGGGGGGATCCATCATCGGTTCACGCTTCTGATGAAGCCGAGGGCACTTGCGCTTGCCGTAACTTGCTCTGTCTCCCAGGCTAATCTAGCCTCCCGAACTAGATCACTAGTCCTTTGCTCCTGCGGCACTGTAAAGGCTGTTGCACCAGGCGTCAGAGGTTGCAAGTACCCCGTGCAGGACATGGTCCTTGAGTCTTTGGTTTTGCTCTCTTCGTCCATCTACTATTTGTTAGGCAGCACACATGCGACCGCGGCATTGGAATTCCTTTCGCTGCAACTTCTTGCAAGAGTCGAGTTGGCTGGCTGCAGTAGTTGAGGAGGAAACAAAGCGACATCACAAGAGCGTTGCTGGCAGGCCGTTGAATCACGCAGCTCTTGTCTGCAGCTTAGGCCCAAGTCGCCAGGACATTTTTCGCCGTCATTCTAACAGCCTCAGCACCTTCGGTTCTGTAAGGCATGCCAGCAAGCTTGATGCAAGCTTCAGCACAAACTGCAGACTCTGAGCCCTCTGGTATCTCTGGTATCTCTGGTGGCAGAGCATGCGGGGGGGCTCTTTGAGGTCTTGAGCCGTAGCAGTCAACCATCCTTGCATCATCTCAAGTCTTGTCGCGTGACGTCATGCTTGCCCGTAACGATCATCGGCACAGGACGAACTGTTTGCGCGAGTCAAGTTTCAGATCAGGGCACGAAAGGGCAAGCAACGAGACCAGGAATATCCATCACACCAACATGCCAGTGCGAAATCGCAGGGAGCAGGAATGTGCCAGTCGCTCTCAATTCAGAGTAGCATCTCTTGAAGGTCCGGACTACAGATGCAAATTCTTCAACCCCAGGCACGTGCAGGATGAGAGCTGTGTAGGCTTTTGTAGCCTTTGGGGCGGGCATCCATCATCGGTTCAGGCTTCTGATGAAGCCGAGGGCACTTGCGCTTGCCGTAACTTGCTCTGACTCCCAGGCCAATCTAGTCTTCCGAACTAGATCACTAGTCCTTTGCAAGGGCGTTCGCGCCCACAGGCAATCAATCAATCAATCAATCCTTTGCTCCTGCAGCACTGTAAAGGCTGTTGCGCCAGGCGTCAGAGGTTGCAAGTACCATGTGCAGGACATGGTCCTTGAGTCTTTGGTTTTGCTCTCTTCGTCCATCTACTATTTGCTAGGCAGCACACATGCGACCGCGGCATTGGAATTCCTTTCGCTGCAACTTCTTGCAAGAGTCGAGTTGGCCGGCTGTAGTAGTTGAGGAGGAAACAAAGCGACATCACAAGAACGTTGCTGGCAGGCCGTTGAATCACGCAGCTCTTGTCTGCAGCTTAGGCCCAAGTCGCCAGGACATTTTTCGCCGTCATTCTAACAGCCTCAGCACCTTCGGTTCTATAAGGCATGCCAGCAAGCTTGATGCAAGCTTCAGCACAAACTGCAGACTCTGAGCCCTCTGGTATCTCTGGTATCTCTGGTGGCAGAGCATGCGGGGGGGCTCTTTGAGGTCTTGAGCCGTAGCAGTCAACCATCCTTGCATCATCTCAAGTCTTGTCGCGTGACGTCATGCTTGCCCGTAACGATCATCGGCACAGGACGAACTGTTTGCGCGTGTCAAGTTTCAGATCAGGGCACGAAAGGGCAAGCCACGAGACCAGGAATATCCATTGCACCAACATGCCAGTGCGAAATCAGCAGGAATGTGCCAGTCGCCCTCAATTCAGAGTAGCGTCGCTTGAAGGTCCGGACGACAGATGCAACCGCAAAGAGCCGGGCGGGAGGGTCTTCAGCCCCAGGCACGCGCAGGATGACAGCTGTGTGGTCTCTTGTGGCCTTGATGAGGCCTGGTGGCAGGCTTCTGATGAAGTCTAGGGCACTTGCGCCTGCCGCAGCTGGCTTTGTCTTGTCATCTTGTGCTGAAACATACTGAAGCATTCGTCGCGCCATTCGAGATCCCTTTCAGGGGATTGTCGCTCTTGTGCCCGTGTGTTCATGCACAGCAGCCCTTCCATGCTGCTCGAGACATGCTAGCAGCAACTACCGAAATCAAGCAGGCAAATCTCGAGAGCGCCTTGGACACAAGGGGAGTTCGAAGGGTTTAGGCACCTCGCAAAGGCCTTAGTCATGGCCCAGCCTCTCGACAAAAACCTACTCAGCTCGGGTCAAGCGCCAGGCCTTCGACAAGTTTACGGCGTCGAGCGGGATGACTCGGAACTTCGTTCAAGGTAACGGACATAAACCCATTCCCGTCTCCCTTTCCCTTTGCTCACTCCCTACTCCCCTCCAGCCCATGCAGGACCCCGCGCTGAGTTTCCACAGTGCAGGTTGGGGGATCATCGTGAGGTTTCTTGGTCCCTCAGGAGCCCCTCGTGGGAGATTTGAAGCACAGTAGGCGGTCAAGGTCGATCAGGGGCATGCTGGACACCCAAGAGCCTCAGATGACACTGAACCTTCACCGGCGTGCCCAAAGGAAGCTGCTCTGCGTGCGCAAGCGGGTTTTGCAGGGAGAGAGGGGGCTCTTCTGTCGCAGCCTTGGCAGCATTTGGCAACAGGCTTGCAAGTTTTTCAGCGGAACGTTGAGCCATTCTCGGCCTGTTCTGGTCATTTGCAAATCTCAGACCACACCTTCGGCGAGCCAACTATTGAGAACACTATTGAAAGCTGCTCTGATCCAATCGTGTTCCACAAAGCCCCCATGCGGATCCACGCAGATTCGCCATCTCCACCTCATCATTGGCATTCGAATCCCTAGGGCGTTTGTCCGTCCAGGCATGGCAGCAGTGACCCCCAAGCTGATCACCGATCTTCATCCAGTCATGTGTAGGCAAATCGAGGGTGTGTTTCGGACAGTTTGGGCGCAAGCAAGTGCTCGGGTTCTCTCCAACATCCACGGGAGGACATCCCTTCAAGTTCCCAGAGTTCCCGCGTTGCAATTCTGTTCCGAACCGGAAGGCAGTCTTTGAGTTGACTCTGCCTTTGAAATGCCGCACTGCGGGGCCTTGAATGCCGCTGGAGGCAGTTGGGCACCTTAGGATGCTTTGGACAATTTTAGAAATAGGCCCGCAGCTGCATGTTGAGACACGGCAAGTGTAGGATGTCAGCCATGTCAGCTGCCTCCACGCGCGTCGCTGCGCCGAAAGGAAGCGATCACAGGCACAGGGCTCATTAGGATCATTAGGCTCAACAGGCTTGCGGCCTTGGAACCATGCCGGCGGAGGAAATTCAAGTCTGCAGAGCAGCCGATGTACAAGCTAGGCAGCTTGCTGCGGTTGCCATGCAAACCATGGCAAATCTCAACGCAGGCGAGTCAGCTTTTGAAGCTGCGCTCCTCATGCACATCCATGCGCAGCGGCAAGCACCGGGCAGGCTTCGTCCGAGTTTCGGGTCTTCGTCGAAGCTTCGTCGACGATCGCCTTTGTAGTCGACAGGCGCCCTTCGTCCGGGGTTTGCCCAAGCGTTGGCCGTCCGCATCTGGTGGTTCATCGCTGTGGAAATGGGCCAAGAGGCTCGCAAGGTTGCCGGCAGAACGTTGAGACACTGGTTTCGACTCGGCAGATCTTCCGGAGTCGGAGTCAGCAAGTCCGGCATTGAAATCTTGCAAAAGCGAATCGTGATCAGGGTTTAGGGCTTCGGGTTAGTATCATGGAGATGCTTTGCCCTCTGGTCAGTCGCAGCCTATGAGAGCGTTCAGACCCTCAATGTCGGGCCGTTCGGCTTGCTCTATATCAACATCTGAAGAGTCCCTTCTGGCTGATTCCTGGCTGGTTCTGGCCCATCTCGCCGTATGGGCAGGTGAAGGTTTGCAGGACAGCGGCTTCCTCGAGACCACAACCTGGCAGTGGTGGCACAACAATGTCATGTGCCTTTGCACGTCTTCTGAAGTGCAGAGCCTGGGTGCGGGCCTGAGAAACTTGAGCAACTTGAGTATGCTTCTTTGAACTCCCAGCCGAATCGGGACCAAAGAGCAGGACTTCAGAGGCTTCAGAGGCTTTCAGAGCACCGGCAACGCTGGGGACCAGACCAGCTCACCGGTCGCTGCCGGGTTTTGACGGGCTTTGCGCCGGAAGTGGCGTGGAACACAGGCTGGCACCTCACCGAGTTCGAGCCAGACATTGCAGCTGTCTCTGCCACCTTACCGGAAGGGAGCCAGATGTGCTCGCTTTTGTGTGCTAGCACATGTCCGAGGCGCTCGAGCCGCGCTGGCATGGAGGTAGCCAGGTAGCCACTGTTCACAGAGCCACGCTGATTCGGGATCGTCATCATCGTCATCATAGTCATCATCGTCATCATCGTCTTCATGTGCTTGACATGGCGAGCTGGAGCAGGGACTCTCGAAGACTATGCAGGACTTAGATGTTGTTGGCGCTGGCCTATGTCAACTCCATTCTTCTCCCGTTTAAGTGTTATGCGCGAATGCCGCTTATTGAGCTTGTGAATGAAGGCAGAAGAATTGGGAAACAAATGTTTGCCTCACTGTGAATGCGTATTGAGTTGAATCCCCAGGCTCCGAGCTTTGCAGGAAGCCTCGAAAATGCCAAGAGCATGTCTTTCTGGCCATGGCCGTCCAGGAACGTACAGCTTCCTCTTCTGTCAAGCAGCCTGTCATGGACTAGCCTTTCCTGGCTGGGTCGGTGCTACTCGGACATTGCTGCTTGGCAACCTTCGTTGGCATCTGCAGACTCGCACCTTGAGGTTGGGACCAACTCCCACGGCTCTCTCTCGCAAACTGGTCTGGACAGGGTTCTGAAAAGCAAAGGCTTTTTTCGTCAGTCGGCCCCCCAAAAAAGTCCACAGTCCTCGGCAAGGAGGTACTTGCCGGCTTCTTACAACAGAGTAACATAGTGTTTTGGTGTGTTCGGAACTAGCTCGTCTTTTGATATGCTGGCAAAAAAACCTCAGCTGGCAAAAAAAACTCAGCAACTCCAGAAAGACAGAGTAGACTGGGCCAGACTGCGCAGGCTTTCCGACAAAACCGTGTGGTAAGCGCAGGCGCACACGCAGGAGCGCACGCGAAAGCGCGCCGGAACGTCCGTGGCAGTCTCGGCCAGGAGCTTGGCCCGTGGACGAGTAGCCGCTGCAGCTGGCTTAGCCAACTGAGGCCCTTTAGGGCCCTTTAGGGCCCTCTGTAGGGCCCTCTGTGGGCGCTCAGAAGGGGCGTCGGCGAAGCTAGCACGCCGCATGCTGCGTCACTTCGGGAACTCCTTGGGGGCTTCTTGGGAGAAAGGCGCGCAGGTGTCTCTTCGGAGTGAGGCGGGTAATGGGCCCGTTGCCCGAGTCGCCCCCGAACTTTGGAGCGGCTCCTCTTTGTCCAGTCCGAGTCTCTTCAGTCGCTCCGCCACTTCAGCCTCACCCCCGAGGTACGTCTTTGACGCAGCAATACTGTCGCCGCCCGCTCCGTAGGCTCCGTCGGCTTTCCAGGCTCCATCCCCGTGCATCCCATTGTGCATCAGTGGACTTCTCCCGAAGCTTCGGAGACTGGGAAAAACGCCACATGTCCTCAGCTTCGACAGACAAGAGCTCCGTGATAAGGCAGCAGACGAAGTCTTGGTATCGTTACATGGACCGCAAGCGTCGTATGGGGCTTGCAACATGGGCCACGGTGTGTATTTCCGACTTTCCAGCCCCCGAAGCTAGCTTCAGGAGCCCTGACAGCTCGTGATAGCTGAAGTGTGGCATCCTTCAGGGCATCGAGGCCCACAGCCTTCGGCATCCCACTTCTATTTCATCGCACCCCGCAGGCACGTGCCTTCGTAGGCTCACCAGGCTCACCTTCGAAAGGTCAAGCGCTGAGCAAAGGCACCGTTGCTTCGACCATCGGCCGGCTTCGGTGCCAGAAGAAAAGAGGCAAGCGGTACCCGGAAAGGGTGGCCTTTGCATTGTAAGCACCGTCTGAAAGAAGCTGTAGTCGCAGAGCTTGCAAGCCAGGCAAGCAAGCATCATCCTGCAGCATGTTCTGGTGCTTGACCTGCATCTATACTCAAAGACGAAATTCAGAACTCTCTCGTTCGCGGAGTTCATGTTGCTCATGTTCCTGTCTCCCACCCTGAGCGAAGCAAGCGAAGCAATGGGCAGGCAAGGGTTCAAGAAGTTCAAGCACGTGCTCTCTGCACATCTCTGCACATCTCTGCACAGTCTGCTTCCCGAGCCCCTGGCATCACCCATGATGGGAGACATGGCTGCGTGTCTGGACTCGCGCTACCCAGCGTCCTTTCCCAAGGCCAAAGGCAACCAAGTTGCGCACGCTTGGGTGCCACCCTTGCGCATGGATGCCCTACTTGCTGCAAGTAGGATGTTCTGCCTCGCAGTCGGGAGCTGCATCCCGGCATGGATCCAGCGTGTGCAGTGCAGGAGATGTAGGATCCGGATTCCCTGAGGCTGAGGCCATCAGTTCGAACGGGAGCAATCCTCCATCTTCAGGGCCCTGGGGCCACGATGGGTCAAAAGTGCGCAGAGCGATGCCCCTGCAGATGAGTCCCTCCACACCTTTCGTGGCGGGCAGCGTGCACACAGATTGTAGTGACCTCATGCTCCAATATGCTCCACGCGTTTTGAGGTGCTTACCTGTGTTGAGCATGTACACTTCATTGCGCCGTGCAAATGCTACACTGAGGTTCCAGCAGAGGTCTGTGCAACACTACTTTGCCGCCTGCCGAGCTCAGGGACGATGTCCTGCTTGCTGCCTCCCCGAATCTGATGCAGATGGCGACATGCTGTGATTCGTTCTGCCGGGTTGCTGGTCCGATGGCGGCCAGCCCTTTTCCAGAATGCCTGGCAGTACTGCATAGCTTCACGGCGCAGCTTCTTTGCAAACTCAAGCAACCTCGTCTACTGCACGCTTGCACGAAGCCTCCCTTGTCCCCTGTGCTACTAGCACTCGGCTTGTCCGGCTTGTCCTTCGTGGCTTGCACTTGCATGTTTGATGATATGTTTGCGACCGACCAGGATGT